GGATGTACCTGCATCTCAGAGTTGATGTTCACTCTGGGACTCGAACTCTGTACCATACTGATCAGTTGTAGTCCTAAATATTAGTGAGAAGATTTAAGTAAACAATACCAAGTGAATCAAAACTTCATCTCATCGCATAAACAAGTGGCTATTAGGACTCAGTAGCTAAGTGGATAACGCGATGGCGTTTGAAGCTGAACGGTACTGAGTTCGAGTCCCAGAGTGAACATCAACTCTGAGATGCAAGTACATCCAACTGATAAGTCCCAAACAGGACGAAACGCGCGTCCTGGATTCCACTGCTAGCCACTATCCATCTTTGCTTATATTCATGACATATCTTTAAAAAAATAGATCAATATTTCCTTGTTGTTACTAACTATATAGTTAATAGTTAATAGAAGAAAGAAGAAAAAACTTAATTCAATGAATGATTCAAACAATTTTTCAACTACAGTAACTATGATTAATGATTATTTACAACACAATTTGAATCAATTTAGCTTTATTTTAACCGAAATATTTTACTCTTAATGTTTAGGTCAATATGAATCAGAGTAGTTTACTACCCATTTTGTTGTTGTTATTGGCATATTGTCTGACCAATACAGTGTAATTAGTTACACCCGATTTTCAAAACTATGGTTACAGAGTACGCGTGCGTGCGTGCATGTGTGTGTGTGTTTGTATATACATTCATGATTGTGCGTGTATATATATATGGGTGTGTGTGTATGTCATTTAGTGTTTATTGAATTTCCGGGTGTTTTTCCATATAGGTCAACAATCAGAAAATGTTACTAATGAGGGAAATTATATTCGATTTATCAACTTGATTGATTTTTCAGATTATTCAAATCAATAATTACTACTACATAATCACGGATACTGTATAAAAAAAATGTAGAATTCTCGTATACGTTTCATAGGCTTCATATGCCCTATATGACATTCTTTACTTGTAACTGGATTCCACTGTTAGTCATCATCCATCTTCGTTGAAATCTGTAGAAGTTTTAATTCATTGACATACACAAAAACGTAACTTAAGATTTGATTTCGTGGAGAAGATTTGTAGCTCAAGTGAATGATTTTGATGAAATGTTGTTCTTTGAGCTGGATGGTTTGCTTTGTGGAGTTTTCATTGTTCTTCTGAACGACGACATCATCAGTAGCAGCATAAAACTTCACTTTAAAGGTTTGAACAAAGCATGTGACTATTTCAAAATGTAATTGATTGAAAACTTCAACTATTAAATGGATTAAATACTGTACAAGTTTATAAAGATGTTAGGTAAACTCTAACTATTTCATTATACTTACCAATTTAAATGTATCTGTGTATGTGAATAGAAATGTAGGACAATATAAACACGATATAAACTTGAAAATGACTGAAAATGACAAAAAGCAAATAAGATTCCAGATTTTGCCCTAACGAATGATCAAAGAATTGTAATCAGCTTAACCCTGAATGTTAATCATGGATGTGACCCCAAATGCCCTGGCACGACCGAAGGTAGGGAGAGCTCACTCTACCTCTCAAAATGTTATTACATGACCACGTGCATAAAACCACTTACAGGGAAATCATAATCACTGCCTTCTTGCCGTATTACTGTTGGTTACGAAATTGAGACGAAAAAAGCGAATGTCAGGTGCTTTAATCGGTATGGTGGATACGGAAGACCTATCTAGGGGAATTGGTAAACCCCGATCCCAAATCAATGGTACACATGGGCTCCAGGATCTTGAAGGAACAAATGTCGTATGAACTTATGATCAAAATAGTTTAAAACCATTAGGTTTTAATTTGGTGTTCAACGTTCATGATCAGTTTTTAGGACGTGTTCTGTATTCAGATGCCCTGGATATAGGCTACAAAAAGAAAACATGAAACTTGGGAAACAATATGAATAATTCAATGATTAATTCTTTTCGTAACTCATTTAATCTATTAACTGATGTTTATTTATTTATTTAAACACATAAACATTGATACAAGATGGCAGCAAATAAATATGCGTGATATAAATCATTCGATCTGTGTGAGGGCTGGGATGCTGAACGAGTGCTCAAACCTAAGCACGTGGTTTTATTAAGGGCCCACACTCGGAGCATTCGACCTAGAGGTTTAATCCACAAGGTAGTAGAGTAATGTAAGGAGATGCAGTCTCATGGTAGCTGGTGACCAACTATTGGTTCATACGCCATTTGTTCCTTCAGGATCCTGTAGGCTATGTGCACCATTAGTTTGGAATGAGGGTTTTCCAACTCCTCTAGGTGAACTCTCTGTGTCCACCGATCCGGTTAAAGTGCTGAACATTCACTTTTCGTCTTCTCAATTTCGTAAACAACATGGTCGCCACGAGAAAACAGTGGTTGTATGTACATACTCAAGTACTTGGAACCATCCATTTAACCTTATGATTTTCTAATTAACAGGTTGAGAATATGTGTATCTGGGATAAACACTAATAAGAGATTTCATGGATAAGAAAATAGGAAAACAAATGATTATAGTCATGCTATTTCAATTTTCAATGATTGAATTCAATCAAATTAAACGACTTAAATGTAATTAGTTTTTTGATTGGAAATCAATTTGATCTATTTACAATCGAACTATCTTGATACAATCACTGTGATGATTCTTAATTTTAGGGCCTATTCCATTATTGATTAAATCAATTGACAATAATAGAGACTATTATTAGTGAAACTTAAAAAAAAGAAAGGAATCCAACCCTATTTTCACCTCTCTCTCTCTCTTTTCAAATGATTACTAATGACTTATGTATAGGAACAAAAGGATGGAAAGTATGTATAAGGAGAGAAATAGAATACAATTTAGTTTAATACTTAACCAAATAGTATTGTTTGATAGTACTTATCGCTCTATCTCTAAGCATCGATTGGGCGTTACCTTGTAAAAGTTGTCAAAAAAATTGTCTCATTAAAATTTTCTACCGGTTGTCCTCATAGATCTTAATTTTTTTTAAAAAATGGTAATAGGAATAATCCCACTCACTCACTCACTCACTCACTCACTCACTCACTCACTCACTCACTCACTCACTCACTCACTCACTCACTCACTCACTCACTCACTCACTCACTCACTCACTCACTCACTCACTCACTCACTCACTCACTCACTCACTCACTCACTCACTCACTCACTCACTCAGTCACTCACTCACTCACTCACTCACTCACTCACTCACTCACTCACTCACTCACTCACTCACTCACTCACTCACTCACTCACTCACTCACTCACTCACTCACTCACTCACTCACTCACTCACTCACTCACTCACTCACTCACTCACTCACTCACTCACTCAATCAATCAATCAATCACTAGCTGATCAGTATTCTTGTTAATCTAAGTAGGTTAATTCATATATTAACACTGTTATCAATCGTTATTAACAATTTTATTAATTACAATAAGTGTGGTAGTATTATAATAGAGATCATATTCTTATTTGATGTCTAATTATATAGTGATTTAGTCAAATGTGAAAATCCTACATGAAATATATTATCAGTTTAGGGGTTGTGGAGATTGCTAAGTTTTTGATTGAGATCATGAACTGATTGATGTTAGACTACCATTAAAAACCTGGAAGGACTGGACGGCAACATCGTGGGTTGTTTGAGGTCAAAAATTATTACCATTGGATTCCGGCCCACTGGTCTAGTAGGTTGAGTGTTCGCACGCGAGACTGAAGGCCCTGGGTTCGAATCCCTTGGGCGGGGTCATGGATGCGAACTGGTGAGGAGTCCCACAATAGGGCGAAACGGCCGTCCACTGCTCCGAGGTTTTCAATGGTGGTCTGACATAAATCGGTTCGTGATCTCAATGAAATATATTATTTGTATATTTTTCATGATTCTTTCAATACCATTTTTAGTGGCTCAAGATCTGACTTTATTTTGGATCGTATAATGATTGCTATCGAATTATCAAAATATACATATTTTCATTACTCTCGTATATAACTATCTAATTAACTCGCGTTAATGACTGGCTTCAAGAGGTATTTCCTGGATTTCTAGTGAAAAGTCATCATCAGTGAAGTTCAACCAGGTCTGTTGTTAGATAGAAATTCACTAAAGATAATTGTGGATGGTGGCGCAATGTAGTGGACTACTTGAAGTTAGACATTAACATCGTTGGGTGCTGGCTCAGTGGTCTAGTTGTTAAGAGTTCGTGCGCGAGATCGATAGTCCTTGGTTTGAATCTCACATGTGGGATAGTGGATATGCACTGCTGAGTCATACCGTACAAGAACGAAAAGACCATCTAGTGCTTCCAGGTTTTCAGTGGTGGTTTAGCTTCAATCAGTTCATCAATTCAGCTACAGAATTATATAAGTCAAATACGAGAATGAAATTTTGAATACGTTTATTTTGTACAATCGTTGATCCAGGCAGACAATCAAAGGAACGAAGCAAAGGAAACGAAGAGAAGAGAACAATGCAAAGTGATGCGCAGTGGAGAAGGCATGTTAACCAATTCAATTTAGCTAAAAGTGAATCGACATTTATAGCTGAACAGAGATCAATTACAGACATGTAATGAGCAAGATAACAAGTGCACACACATACATTCACATAAAAGAATTGAAAGTTGATAAGTGAATAATTAACAGGATCAAAATGAAAATAAACATTTCTGTTTTTCTTCTCTTGTCTCTTCATTACAATCTTCATTCATTAAACATTCCAGTAGTCATAGTAGTCGTAGTTGTTGTCGCAGTCGTAGTAGTAGTAGTAGTAACCTTTTGTACTACAATGTTGTACAGGTAAGATCTTATTTTTAGTTCCAGACCAATTCATTTACCATTACAGAAATTTCTTTTTACATAGTAACTATGCCCATAACTACCCCTTTTTTGTTTTAGCTATTAAAATCGATTTAAAATGATAATTATAACTTGTGTATAAGCTGTCACATTCTGTCACTGTGCCTATATATTTCTCTCTCTCTATGTATGTGCTTGTATAAATGTCGTATGTGTGGATCCAAGATACATAGTAGTAGTAGTAGTAGTAGTAGTAGTAGTAGTAGTAGTAGTAGTAGTAGTAGTAGTAGTAGTAGTAGTAGTAGTAATAGTGGTAGTAGTAGTAGTAGTAGTAGTAGTAGTAGTAATAGTGGTAGTAGTAGTAGTAGTAGTAGTAGTAGTAGTAGTAGTAGTAGTAATAGTGGTAGTAGTAGTAGTAGTAGTAGTAGTAGTAGTAGTAGTAGTAGTAGTAGTAGTAATAGTGGTAGTGGTAGTAGTAGTAGTAGTAGTAGTAATAGTGGTAGTAGTAGTAGTAGTAGTAGTAGTAGTAGTAGTAGTAGTAGTAGTAGTAGTAGTAGTAGTGTATGAACTAAATAAAACAGGGGGGAGGAGAAAAAGGTAGAATAGGAAAATAAAATATAAAAAAAACCCTTAACAAATAAATTAAGTGCTTTCCCTTCCATTGTATATACCATATCCCAGTATTTACTTTGTCTGATAAATGTATATTCATTTACGACCAGATTACTAAAAATAGATTATTATTATTATTATTATTATAAAAAATGAATGAAGGCATAATTGATTTGGATGAGATACATTCGATGTTGTTCTCTTCTCTTTTTTTGTTCCCCTCTTTTTTATTCACTAAAAGCATTTCATCAATCGCTTTGATTATTTCTGACAGTAATTGGATCAGGTTGTAGAGTCAAAATAGAAGTTATTAATATTATCATCATCATTATTATTATTACTATGGATACTACAGTATGAGTATAATTAACTCATAAAGATTTCCAGTGTAAAATAACAAAAAAATGCACGTGATTGTTTGAAATATCAATCAGTTGATTAGTTTGTGATGGCAACACAATAATAGTGAGATATTTATTCGATGAAGGTAATAATCAACACTTAAATGTATTAGAAATTACGGTGAGATTAGAATTTATGGATGATATTTCAATGACACTAAAGTGATCTTGAGAGTGTTCATCTATTAACTAAGACTAAATAAGGATTATAAACTTGTGTGAGGAATTAGAATTGTGATTTGCAGTTTTCATCACTAAACTGACATCAGTTATGATGCCGAAACTCTATTTTGTCAAATGGATGAGTGAATTTCACGTCAAAATCCGAGATCTGTTATCTTATTCCTGATGAGTTCGTCCATAGATTATAGTCTTACCGAAATTACAAAAGTATTTTTCACTGTCCTATTGAACGATATTCCTTTAAAAAAGTCTCAAATAAAAGGAAGATGATGGATAGCGACTAGCAGTGGAATCCAGGACGCGCGTTTCGTTCTATTAGGGACTCGTCAGCTGGATGTACCTGCATCTCCGAGTTGGTGTTCACTCTGGGACTCGAACTCAGTACCATTCGCTTCAAACGCCATCGCGCATCCTGGATTCCACTGCTATCCACTACCCATCATTGCTTGCAAATAGCTTGTGGATTAAGGTAATATCGAGGCATACGCACTGTATGCACATATACCAATAACACACTGATCAATTGCAGTCTTAAACCTCAATGAGAAGATACAAACCAAACAATTCAAAGTGAATTAGAAAGAAGATGGTTGGATAGATGTAAATGTCTTGAAATGTTTTCGATGATAACACGTATTGATTCACGTTTCTTGTTTAAGATCAAGTATGAATGGATCTATTGTATGATGACTCTAGAAATCATAGTTAACTTTTAGGACTATTTATTTTTAACGTTGACGAAAGTGTCATCTAGATCCAAATGTAATGTCTAAAACTGTAGTTTGCAATGAGTTTTATCATGGACAATATAATTTAATGATTCTATATCTAACTCCATTTAGATTGTATAAATGACAGTTATCGAATGATTACTGTCAAAATATATTTTCACGCTGTCCTCGTATATAATCATTCACTTAAATCGCGTTAGTGTATAACGGGATCGAATAAGTCGAATAAGAGAATGAAGTTTTGAATATGTATATTTCATACAATTGTTGATCCGGACGAACGATCGGAGTAAAGAAGTGAAGAGAGTGAAGTGAAACGACGCACAGTGAAGAGGTCGTGTGAGCCAACTCGATTTATCTTAGCGTTAATCGATATTTATAGCCGAACAACAAATAAGTTACAGGCATACGATGAATAGAATAAGAAGGGCACACATATACGCTCATATGAAAACGGTGAAGGTTGATAAGCGAATAATTAACAAGGTCAAAATGTAGCTGCAGAAGAATGGATAAATTGGTTTGTCTGGATGCCAGAATAAATTATATGGGCTTAACATAGCAACTGATACTACAATAACATTATGATTAGTAGAGAATTTAATAACCGTTTACGATTTACCTGGGTGATTCTTTTTTACTGTGGTTGTGCTATATCTAGAGCTTAGATTCTTAAGATATCGTGTATAACTTGAGCACTCGAACGCTAGAACTGTCCCAAGTCGCAAATAAAAAGACAGAGGAGAAGTGAAAGGAATGTTATTTCAAACAGTGTCAAGTATGCCACAAATTGTCATGTATTTATAGCTATTAGTAAAATCATATAATCTGCATATAGGGTTTTTTTAGCATTTGTCCTATAGGGAAGCTCCACATAGGGATTCTGGAATATTCTTCCAAAAGATGATTGGATGGAATATCTTCGACTCTTTCTAAGCTTCTTAGAACTTCCTCGAGCTCACTTATAGGCCGTCCTCACAGATTATAAATCAATAAAGAATTTATTAACGAATTAGCTAAAATGGATGACTTGACTTGTACTACATAGAATACGAGTTGAATATATTTTTCACAGACAAATTAGGATAATTAAAAAGACCATAATCTTTTTATTCATTTGGCAAATGTAACTTCGAAAATCAGAGCAAAAAAAGGGTAGGGATAACCAACCAAAATAAACATCCAGACAATGTCAGGACAACAGTCAATTACAGATCAAGGCTGACATAATAAACTGTTAGTTGTATATAGAGAAGTTCGTTTATTACACTTTTATATAAAGTTTGTTCTTATGCTATCTAGAAGGACAATGTATGTTACGGAAGTAAACCACTTAGATCAGTCAGACAGTCAGTCAGTTACAACTTAGGACCAGGCACATACATGCATCGGTTCAAGTTGCCACACCTCATTAGCACAGCAAGATGAGCACCGGATTCATAGAATCAGTTAACTGAATGGTGTAATATATAGAGGAAAGATTTTATGTAATGACTCTGTAGACCGAGAGGTTCTGAGACAGTTCCTTTCATTGGAAGGTGTACCTCAGATGTATATAAACCTTGTGAAGACTCTTTACTTGAACACCACTAGTCGAGTGAGAGATTATGGTGAACTGTCATTTGCTTTTGCAACCTCATATGGTGTCCGTCAAAGCTGTTTACTTTATCCAATTTTGTTTATATTCATCATAGACATACTGATGGAAATAACGCTCTCATCGACTGAGTTTTCGGGCACTGATCTCCTTCCAGGAGGTCCACTTATCGACTTAGAATACGCAGATGATATAGTCCTGTTTGGTGAAGACGCTGATAAAATGTAGACTCTTTTGGTAGCACTGAGCTATGAATCTTCTTTACCATGTTGAAATTAATAAGTACTGATATTGATCAGTGATGAATGTTATGTTAATCTAAGCGTTGATACTCAATGAATTCTATCGATCAAGTTGTATCGTGACGATTAGTTTAAGTGACTTAGCATCATAAAAATGATATTTTTGATGAGGACAACAACAAAGATTTGAGCAGAATAACATGAGTTTATTTTATTTCGCGAATTGGTTGGAGTTAGACATTAACACCGTTGGATGCCAGCTCAGTGGTCTAGAGATTAAGCGTTCTTACGAGACACCGATAGATACTTGTTTTGAATCTCACGTGTGGAATCGTGGATACGCACTTCTGAAGAGTCCCACAATAGGACGAAACGGTCATCCAGGTTTTCCATGGTGATCTAGCTTCAATTGACTCGTGAATTCAACCATTAAGATTACTACAATCTTCAGAAATCCTTATTCTGATAATAATCATCATGTGCTCACTAGTAACTGGCTTCAAGATGTATTTCCTGGACGTCTAGTGAGAAGCCATCACCAATGGATTTCAGCCAGGTCTGTTGTAAGATCGTAAATCACTGAAGACAATGATGGATGTGTCGCTCAATTACATGAATTAGTTGAAGTTGACATTAACACCATTGGTCTAGAAGTTAGGCGTTCACGCTCTAGACAGATAGGTCCTGGGTTCGAATCTCGTGAGGTGTGATCGCGGATGCGCACTGCTAAGATGGAATCCCATACTAGAACGAAACAACCATCGAATGCTTCCAGATTTTCCATAGTGGTTTTAATGTTGATCAAATTTGAAGTTCATTCACATTATTCTTACATTAAAATGATTTATTTTCAGATATTTTAAATAGTAATATATTACTTTAAATAGACAAATATCTATTTCAATAGTTGAAATCATGAGTCAACTGAAGCTAGACCACCATGGAAAACCTGTAAGCACTGGGTGGCCATTTCGTTCTAGTATGGGACATCTCATCAGTGCGTATCCACGATTCTGCCCTCCTGCGAGATTCCAACCCAAGACCTTAACCATTAGACCACTGAACTGTCATCCAATGCTTCCAGGTTTTCCATGATAGTCTAGCTTCAATTAACTCATGATTTCGACTATTGAAATAGTCTATTTGCCCAAAAAATTTACATTTACTCTTCTATATTGAGATATATTTAATTAGTTAATTGTTTCCTAGTTGAACAATTATTTATTATAACAGCTGATGATAAATAGATAGATAGATAGATAGACAAACAGACGGATAGATAGATAGATAGACATATGAAATAATTTGTCATACTTGTCAATATGATCATTTAAAACAAATAAATCAATATGGGCGGGAAATTATTGAAATTAAACGGAAGAAAAAGATATAAATAGACTGAAAATATATAAGTTCAATAATAATGAAAACCAGGTCTGTTGTGAGATAGGAACTCACTGAAGACAATGGTGTACGGTAGCGCAACTTCGTGGATTGGTTGAAGTTAGACATTAACACCGTTGGATGCCAGCTCAGTGGTCTAATGGTTAAGTGCTCGCGCGCGAAGCCAGTAGGCCCTGGGTTCGAGCTCCGGGTGGTGCGGGGTCGTGGATGCGCACTGCTGAGGAGTCCCATACTAGAACGAAACGGCCGTCCAGTGCTTCCAGGTTTTCAATGGTGGTCTAGCTTCAACTGACTCATGAGTTCAATCTGTGAAAATAATGAAAAAGATAATTTCGTTAATTTTGAAAGTTTTTATAGAAACTATTCAATTTGAAAGTAAAAATCATGTTGATTTGAAAAGTTGTTTCCTTCTAATATAGAAAAAAACTATCAACAATATGTACATCTACGATCTGTAACATCTTTCAAAGAATCTAAGTATTACTTAGGTAACATCGATTAGGTTCGATAAAGAGCTCTGAAAGGCAAAACTTAACGACTCT